AGGTGCTGGTGTGCATGGTCGAGGCCTGGATGTGCAGAACCACCCGATCCACCAGCGGCTTCGGCCCCGTCACGAAACCAATCCGCAACCTGACCGCAAACACACACAACATTCCCGTGCAAAACACATCAGTCACAATCTGAGAAAGGAAGTACGTGGTTTTCATGGTAGAATATAAAATAGATTCACGATTCAATTCAAATAATGTAAATAATATAAATTACTAGTGTAAATATACATTCAATTACAAAATATGCAAATGTATGAATGTATATAAAATAATTGATGGTTCGTAAAAAAAAAATGAATTAAATGCTATGCAATTATATGTATATATGAATAAATAATTCATAAATTATGTATTAATATAAATATTTAATATAATTAAACAAAATATACATATTATAAATATTAATGTTACACATGTATATTAATTATATTAATAAATAATTGACCGTACTATATTAAAACTATTGAATAAAATGCAATTTAATTATATATATATATATATAATTAAATAATAAACATAATAAAATATGCATGTTTATATATATATATTATCTGACTACAAATAATTAATATTCATATGATAAATAACTAAATTATATATATTTGTGTGTGAATTTTTAGATATTCAATTATATGTAAATTAATGATTTATATTAAATTATTGAGGGTTAATTTTAAAAACGATTGAATTAAATGCTATGTAATTATATATATATATATATATATAATATATATGTATTTATATTATATTATATATATATATATATATATATATATATATATATATATATATATATATATATATATATATGTATTTATATCAATGCACAATACATACATATATATATATACTGTATATAAAATCAAATTTTAATATTTTTTTATATATTTTTTACATATTTTATATAAACACAAACCAGTGCAGCAAGATTCTCTAGAGTCTGATTGTCAATAACTATCAAAAAAGTTTAGTTTTTTGTCCCAACCTCGATAAAACTACTGCGGCACAATTCTTGGGTCTCTCTAGGCCAATAATTATATATATATAAAAAAAAAGTAAGTTTACCCTTTGAAAAGCTATAGCTGGGTCATTTAGAAAATGTGCCTTTCTTGAGTTTTTTCCCTTTCTATCTCGAGTCCATATCATGACGCTGACGGCTGACAGAAGCACTACTGTCCACTGAATCAAGTCATTGACATTTGAAGCACAAACTGGCTTTTGACAGCAGCACCCACCCCGACGACAGGATCTTGGAGAACGAATCGGTTCGGAGGACGCGTCCATCCACGTCCATGGAGAGAAATGTTGGTGCCCACGGCTGGATGACGAGAGAACAGAGCAGAGTATTGACATTACACTGCTATCTTATCTCAGCCGCAATACAGAGGCTATCAGAGAGGTCAGTATATGATGACTACTTCCTTCTGATTAATCGCACAGTACAAACAGATGCTGTGAAGAGAGCAATGCATCGGAGGAACTTACTTTCTGGAACTGCAGGAAATAATACGGGTCATCCTCAATGATAAGCATATCATATATCCTGGCAAGCTGCAAATGAAAACAAAAATTACAATTTAGTGAATTTTCGTGAATTGTTAGATTTTGATGAAAAAGAAAAAAAAAACATTTTAAAATATAGCTGCGAGCAGCAATTATGGGGGTTCAAGCGTTTTATGGCCTTGTTTTAGGAATTGTTTTCTTTAACAAGCCTGTAACCACCAAGATCATTGACGGAAAAACCATTTACAGGCAATTTACAGAGGAAAATATGGTTTTAAAGCTTTTTAACAGTTAGAGCGCCACCTATGGTCCGAACTCCATAAAACTTTGCATGCTTGTTTAGAATCATGTGTTGCATGTGCTCACCAAATTTCGTGAGTTTTCGTTTAGGATTTATAGGCTTTTTGAGTGCATTTTGCTACGCCCATTTTCTAAATCACCCTGTTATAGCGATCCAAAGGCCAAAGTTAAACAATTTTTTTATAATTATTGACCTAGAGAGTCCCAAGAATTGTGCCGAGGTTGAGCCAAAAACCTAGGACTAGTTTGCAAAAGTTGTTTTTTGAAATAATCTTAATGAAGGATTCGATTGACGGCAACGGTCCTAGAGGCGAATGCGGTATGATGTCGTAGGCGTGTGCCAAAAGTCGCGTGATATACAATCCTTACGCATGTGATATATATGTCCTTTACGCATGTTAAAAAAACGAGTTTCGTTCCGACCGGCCTGCGTTAACCTTGTCTGATAGCTGCTCAAACTTCATTGGCCGCCGCCGGCCGTGTTTTACGAGATACGCCAATGTCCTCAAAGGCAGTCTTGGCACAAAAACACCACATGGCAATTTTCAAGTCAATCAGACTTAGTTTTTCGTAGCTATACGCTGATTTCACGCAGCCGCCATTTTTAAATCGAAAGCGAGGCTCCGGTGGGAAGAACCCCGGAAGTACAGATAGACAACAGTGCCTTGGACTACCAACCTGAAGCTGCTGCCGCGATTTACACTATTGGATGTTAATATCCAATATAGGATATGTATATAGTTCGTTCCTGGTTCTTTTTTTACGTTCTGAATTATATATAAAAAAAATATTTTATTTATAAATGAATTTCACTGTATATAGTCTAAAGTATGAAAGAAATGTATGTACCGGTACATTTTTAGAATAACTAATTTCTACATTAAACAACAATACGCCATCGCATTCGCGACTCTCCTATGATTAAAGGCGGTACTTCCGGTTTTCTTCCCACCGGAGCGATTTCAAAATGGCGGCTGAGTGAAATCAGCGTATAGCCATTTTTATGTTTTTTCCATGTTATAGCGCCACCAAGTGGCCAGTAACCGCGTCCTTTTTCACACGAAAACAGAATGAGCTCTTACATATGTGTGCCAAGTTTGTTGAAAATATCTCATTCCGTTCATAAGTTATAGCCTTATAGCAAAAGTGGCTCCTCCCACTTCGAACGTTTTGGCGGCGCTTAAATTTCAACTATTTTGATACTTATTGACAATCAGACTCTAAAGAATCTTGCCGCACTGCTTTGGTTCCGATCGGGCCAAAAACCTAGAACAAGTTCGCAAAAGTAGTGTTTAGAAAAAATGCAAAATACCCGAAAATTTCGGAGTTGCGAGTGATTTTGCACTTGTAGGCGGTGTGAGTACTACCAGCCCTCAGAGTTTCAAGTACGGCTTCCGGTTTGGTCAAAGAACGTCTGACTGTACATGAAACACTATATATCAGAAATCGCTGGTCACAGATCAGGCATGGTTACTTGCATTACTGTCGACTCTATATCTTACAGGAAAAGTCTGTTAGTAAAGCCTGCGCCGAAATGCGACTGATTTACCAAAGAATCCCCAGTGAAATGAACCGAACTAACGAATAATGCAGTACTGAGACATTCACTCTCCTAGCACTCGGATCCTCTGGAAGGTAATGTTATTTTTAGTCCCGTGTATTTCTCTTCTAATGTGGCAGTGGGCGGGGCCAAAGACATGATGATGTAGAAGTGGGCGTTAATCTTCTGCACTATTACGTCATGTGACAAAAGTCGTTTTCTGAGCTTGGACTCAATAAAAGCTGTTTTTTGGACTAACAAGGAAGGATGTTTTTAATAGTGTTATTATAATAGATCATTTTTATAGCTTTAATTTATTTTTATTTCAGTTTTAGTAAATTTAGTACATCAACTTCAATTTATTTCTGTTAGTTAAAATTTTATTATAACTATTTCAATTACAAAAAAATCTTTTTAGCTTTATTTAACAATTACATTTTAATTATCGTGTACACAACATGATAAAAAAAGCACACACTTAAATCATAAATCACAACATCTTCTGAATATGTTTTCCGAACATCACACAGGGACCATTTCGGCCTCAAACCGTGTGCATTGAGGAAGTAAACCCTGCTTACTTCATAGACTTCCTGTTTCCGCTCATGAGTCATGGACGCTCCAGTGGGATTGCCTCCGTTGGGGATGGTGTACAAGAGCTTCGGTACGGTGCAGTCCGGCTTCTGAGCGTCGGTCGGGTCCCAGCGCGCCAGGATCTTCCGGAGGTCGCCCGGGATCATGCCATGCTGATCGCTCGGCACATTCATGATGTTGGCGCCCAGCGGCTGCAGCTGTTGAGGAAAGAGCTGGCAATAATTACATCTAAACATGTTCCTGTAACGGATCAAGAGAGATCACAGGTGAAACGCGGATGATGGGAAATGTGTCCTCACGGCCGCCAGCGTTCCCGAGTATGTGGGAGCATCGAGGAGGACGTTGTCTCCAGGATTGACGAGCATCTCGAATATCTGATGAACAGAACAAAGAGGAAAACCAGAATTTTAGTATGCAGTAAAAAGAGGAGAAATCACCAAAAGTCTATGATCCAAAGAGGCCACTCATTATGAGGGTGAAAAATGACAACAAATATGTAAATGCGAGATAAACACCACAGGAACAGCAAACGTCTCAGTCACAGCATGAGCTAATGCGGCTCTGATGAAGCATTTGGACGCATTCCCTTTTTTGTCGTCTTTTTTCCCCCCGCTTATAACATGCTAAACCTTTTCGCAACTTTTATCCTAAATTATGGCACATGATCCAATATGCATATCACTAATAATATTAAGCATACTAAAAACTTCAGGAACAGAGTGACTGTATCGCCACGAGAGCATTTATTAAGGACAGTGGTGTTTTAGTATCATCAGTTTTTATTAGTAATATTTTGAATTAGCATATATTTTCCGTTTTTCATTTTAATTTATTTTAAGTTTTAGTAATTTTTTTGGGTGTTTTCGTGATTTTTATTAGTTTTTTTATGCATATTTATTTTTTTATTTTACTTTTATTGCAGTTTTGGTTATTTTAGTACATGTAGTACATAAAAGAAATTGAGAAATAGCTGAAATAAGAGTTTAAAAAAAAAAATATATATATATATATATATATATAAATATATACAATTTAATATATATATATATACCGGTATATACACATCTAATATATATATATATATATATATATATATATATACACACTTTATATATATATATACACATTTAATATATACACACATATATATATATATATATATATACACATTTAATATATACACACACACATATATATATATATATATATATATACACACATTTAATATATACACACTATATATATATATATATATATATATATATATATATACACACATTTAATATATACACATATATATATGTGGCATTTATTTTATTTCAAGCAATAGAAAAGTGTTTTTAATGGTTTTAGATACATTAATGCATTTAGCAGTTCTTGCTTTCCCTGGGAATCGAAGGAAGGCTTCGTTAACTATAATAACCCTGACTAGGGATGCATAATATATTGGTGCCCATATTATTATTGACCATAACTAGCAGTGTAAAATGCTCACAACGGCTCTGATTAGGTCCAGATATTCTATTGTCAGTGGTGTGTGTGTGTGTGTGTGTACTTTGCAGAGCCCCTCCTGACTGCCGGTGGTGACACACATCTCCATCTGTCCTCTCTCTGGACTGTAGCCGGCTGTGGGAGGATCGTGGAGGCTTTTCTGAAGATCCTTCATCCATGAGACCAGCTCTGGAATCCTACCAGCCCACACACACACACACAAACCAATGAAACAAACTGTAATTCATTACTGATTTCAAATTACATGATGTAATCGTTAGACGTTAGATTACACATTTTATGTAATGCATTCTGAATACTTTTAGATTACTTTTGACCTAAACTCGTTTATACATGGATTTAAATTAGGGCTGTCAATAATCACGACTAATCGCACATATTTCAGACGCTGGTTTGCTTTTTCCAGCTAAGAAACGTAGTTAGGATATCATTAAAAGTTTCACGTGCCAATTTATGTGTTATTTGTGTTCAATTATTTTAACGCGTTAAGGATTTCTAATTAATCACATGCGTTAACAGCCCTAATTAAAATATGTATTTTGTGCCATGTTGTTATAAAAATACAAAAGATGTAAATATATTCCACTCTTTGTTATCAAAAACATGAATTGCATTAAACATTACATAAGCGTTTCCCAAACTTGGGTTTATGAAGTAACTGGAAGACTTTCCAAACGAATATATATAAATGGAAGGCTTTTTAGAAAGAGAAATTTGAAGAGTTAGGGAGAATTGATAAATCATAAATAACTGTTTGAATAATTTTTGGGGTGTGAGAGGTCCCAGCTTCAAATTTATTTGAACATTTATTTATGCATTTATGTCACATTTATTTGCCCCCATTTATGTAATCCATAAAAAAGTAGCCGTTATCTGATTATCAGTGTTGGGCAAGTTACTTTTAAAAAGTAATTAGTTACAGTTACTAGTTACTTCTTCCAAAAAGTAACTAAATTAGTAACTCAGTTACAAATTTTAAAAGTAACTAGTTACTTAAGAAAGTAACTATTGCGTTACTTTCAAGTAAAATTAAATTTTAAATGCTCAAATGTGACCCCACCTCTACCCCTATTTAACGGATTTTAACACATGTGCATGTTCAATTATTTATGATAAATCTGAATTTTATAATGAAATGGACACTTAATACAATACATTATTTACAGAAACATGAAACATTGTACACACATCTAAAAAAAAATGTTGCCGGTGGACAAAGTGAGACTAGCCTCCAATCAAATGCCATGTATGTAGATATTATGTTTATATAGTGGATCAATGCAAATAACACAATAGATGTTTTGGAACTTTTGATATTTATTGCCCCTCAACAGGCCACAACTGGGCAAAATTAAATTAAGCTTGTTAAGCTGTGGAGTTATATATTCTCATTAACTATATTATTTTATGTTTCTTACTGTTATTTTGTTTTTACTTTATGCTATTGACGGTTGTATACTAAAAATGTGCAAGAGTTCATTGTGCGCATGTGTGAACAAATGGGGACTTTTATTTTGACTCAGCTTGTGTTCCTTCCTTGAGATGAATGTCGTGCTGCTGCTCCCTCGTGCACTGATGTTATGCCAGCGCATTGAGATGAAAACTAACAAATAAATAACACTGAGAAATTGTATCTGGATTGTTCTTTAGTGGATGGATGATCGCAACATATTGTGCATGGACATGACGGACGGAAATGAAAACTTAACATAAGCAATATACCATTTAGAGAAGGCTACTTTTGGATTATTTGGGCTCGTCGGCATACCTGTCTCTCGTTGACTGACTGGCTTGTGTTGTTCGTTGTGTGTCCTGTCCTGTCCGACTATGCGTTATGATGGGTCGTTCGCAATTCATGAGCGTTAGCTGTTAGTGATGATGGGTCGTTCGCGAATGAGCGTTAGTGATGATGGATCGACTCGTTCGCGATTCGCGAATGAGCCGACTCTTTTAGGTGAACGTCGGTAGCTGGCTCGCATATCTGAAGAGCCGACTCTTACAAATTTAGCCTATAGAAATTAAATAATTATGTAATAAAAATTGAAATATTATAGTCAAAGTAATTTAAAGAGCCGTTTGTGAGCCAAAAGAGCCGGCTCTTTTCAGTGAGCTGAGTCAAAAGAGCCGAATGCCCATCACTACTATGCGTGCTTTCGAATACCCGCCCAACTCGCTTTCGAACACCCGCCCAACTCTACCTCTGATTGGCTTACAATGACATTTTACTCTACCTCAGCCAATCGTCAGCATGTATGCGCTTGTCTCGTGCTCCCTCTGCCCACTAACCAAGGAAGAACAGTAAAAAAAAGTATTTGCCTCTAGCTCAGAGATCTAGTTGGTCTGATGAAAAAAAAACAGCTTCATCAGTTATAGTAACGCGCCGCATTTTTTGGCAGTAACGGTAACGGCGTTATTAAGATGAGAAGAGTAATCAATTAGATTACTTGTTACTGGAAAAAGTAATGCCGTTAGTAACGGCGTTATTTATAACGCCGTTATTCCCATCACTGCTGATTATGAGCATTCTAAAATGCATTATAATCTACAGTAATATCAAGTACTTTCGTTTTGGAATCAGATTACATAATACAGATTGACACATGTAATCAATTACTAACAGGTGTTGAACCGAATTTCAACCCCCGCCAAATTATAACCCCCAATAGCATTGGTAGGTTTAGGATTAGTTGTGGGGGAGGAGTTAGGATTAGGGGCGTGGTTAGGATTAGGGGCGTGGTTAGGATTAGGGGAGGGGTTAGGATTAGGGGCGTGGTTAGGATTAGGGCGTGGTTGGGATTAGGGGTGGGGTTAGGATTAGGGGCGTGGTTATGATTAGGGGTGTGGTTAGGATTAGGGCGTGGTTGGGATTAGGGGTGGGGTTAGGATTAGGGGAGGGGTTAGGATTAGGGCGTGGTTGGGATTAGGGGTGGGGTTAGGATTAGGGCCAGGGTTAGGATTAGGGGCATGGTTGGGATTAGGCAATCAGGTACTGACTTCAAAGAGGGGGGTAATAATTTGTCAGGGGGTCGAAATTAGGCACAACACCGGCGGTGAGCAGCAGTGTAGTGTCTGATACCCGTATGAGCCGGAGTACTGCAGCGCTCTCTTCATCAGCGCCTCGTCCAACACCACAGCATCTCCTCCCTTCACCGTCACCGTGGCCGACTGGAATGGGAAGGTGTTGGGATTGGGAGCTCCTCCGGCCAGAGAGATCAGGGATGGAGGAGATCGCTGCTGCAGCTCAGCTGGATCACAACAACACCAAATCATCTCTATTTATACAGCGCTTCATGGACTACAGATCGGTTCAAAGCTGATTTTTTCCCAATAATGATCAATGATGCGAACTTCATTAAATATGAGACACATTTGAATTGTGCAGTAAAGCAGCAGTGTCATTATTCAGCTCAAGTCAGTTCAGTATTGACTTTAGTTCAGTTCAGTAACCATGTAAAGTTCATCAGTTATGAAATGAGTTCTACAGAAGACATTAACTGAGTCAGTTCAAGTTTTGTCCTCATCCACACTGTAAAAAAATAATACCGTAAAAATGAAATTAACACCTAAATACCGTTTTTTCAGCTACAGTATATAACTGTACTTTAACAGCATATAGCTGTAGCTGAAAAAACGGTATTTAGCTGTTAATTATAAAAACAGTAACAAACCATATTTTTACGGTATGATGCTGGCAACCACAGCTGCCAGTAGTTTAATGGTTTTTTACAGTACGGTCAAATCGATAATAATACTGAACTTTAAGTGTCTATAAAGTTATCATCTCGTCATAAAGTCACATCTCAGTCAGGCAGTTCATCTCAATCGTGGTAATAAACAGTAATAAAATAATAAAAATCAGACTCACTCAGTAAGCGAATAGCCGATGGTTTCCTTGCTGCGCTCACAGCGGTCAGAAAGCGAGCGTAATTCATGCTTCTGATGGGATGGAGGACATGGAGAACTTCTGAACAGATAATGCAAAGAAAAGTTATTTTAATTTGTGTGCATATGAACTATATAGTTTGTTACAAAAACAAGTTTCTGTCATCATTTGGAAACAATCCTAATGGGACTTTTAATGGGATTATCCACAAACATTTAACTGGAGATATGTGTGTGTGTGTGTGTGTGTCTCTAAGCAAACAGCCAAATACTGTTCTGTGTCAGCAATCATAGGCAGTCTGCATGTTTGGAGAAGGCGATGTCACCTCTATCCATAGACTATTTATTTATTTATTCATGTGGTTGTGACTATTGTCGATGTGTGTGTATTGTCAGGTGAAACATAACAGGCTCTTTGTGAATATTTGGATGCTGTGTTGTTTTCATCAGTATTGGTCATTCCAAATAAAATACTCAAATGTGTGTGTGTGTATATATATATATATATATATATTCATAAATAGACAAAGAAAGTGATTTATTGTGGAACAAAAAAAAGCATACAAGGAACATAAACATAAATCTGCTGGTTTGTGTAATGAATCATACTGCTCCCATTTTTTATTATGAAACTTAACTTGAAACCGATTTCTTGTGCAACAGGTTTAACAAGGTGCATTTTACATTCACTCCTGGGTTAAAAATCTCCATATCTTGAAATGTCAACTTAAATTTCGAAGAGAACCATTTATGGAAAACATGATTTTCGGACATATGCACGGCTGGAAGTTCAACTCCAAACGTCAACAGCGATCAAACCCACGTGGAACAAGCGTGCAAATAAATCACACGCAAATCAACATGATCACCATTCGTATGAATAAATACATAATACGAATCATCAGAACTTGCAAGCTTTGTAAAACGACAGACATTTTACACAATCCACAAGCCTAACCTTTAAAGCACTGACCCGTAACAACTTCCCGTACCGCTGAACGTCTCCCGCAAAGATTTCTGGACCGTGTAGTTTTCTTTGTGAGATTTATTAAAGGGATAGTTGTCCCAAAAATGAAAATTCTGTCATCAGTTGCGCAACCCACAAGTTATTCCAAACCTGTATAAATTAATTAGTTCTGCTAAACACAAAGGAAGACATTTTGAAGAATGTATTTCCCTAACTGTGCATTAAGTGCCCCACAACTGTTTGGTTACAATCTTTCTTCATAATATCTTCCTTTGTGCCCAGCAGAACAAAGAAACTCAGGTTTGAAACAACTTGGGGATGAACCAATGATGACATTATTTTTTATTTTTTTTGGTTGAACTATCCCTTTAAGTGCCTGTCCAAAATACGTACTTGCGGTTTTTGCACTTGACCTCTTGTCTACTTAACTACATTATGTATTTCTTTCCGGAGTTTGGCCAAAGTGTTAAATTAATGCCGCGTTCCAGGCAACCTGTAACCCGTGTTTTTCCAACCTTATACCCGTGAAAGTGCACTGGAACGGCAGTCAAACCCGTGACTTCCCACCCGTGAACTCGTACTAGATCGATGTACTCCCAGTTACGAGTTCTGACGTCACATAGCCCGCAAAACCATACAAAACAACAATGGCAGCCCCTACGGATGCAGTGTTTCTGCAGGCGGTACACAGTGAGAATACACTTTAGGACAATATAACGTTGCAATCAAATTAATAATAATATAATAATAATGATAATAATACACACAAGATTATGTATTACAATGGTATGTGTCTGAAACAATAAGTATGTATATACACACACGATTATGTATTACAATGTTATGTGTCTGAAAAAATAAGTATACATGTATATTGCGTGACTGGCCTGGAATGCTACAAAGTCGTGAGTCGTGGTTTGAAGTCGTGATTTACGTGCTCAAAAACCTGCCTGGAACGCAGCATAAGTGTCCAAGCCCGCAATTGGGTATTTTGGACAGGCACAAACATGTGCTCTTCCTTTGGGGAACAGAAACACCTGGTAATCACAAACGACTGTTATTGGCCCTGTCTAAGCGGCGCTGAGAAAAGTAACAGGTAACAAATGACATCACCATTGCTCATTAAACTGAAAACATACAAACAATATTTAAAATATGAGAATTATGCTGCGTTTACACAATACATAAATAAATAAATACAAATTCACATCTACTGTCCTGCAACATTTGTGACGAAATGTAGAAACAACCTAAGCAGCGGTGAGCGAGCGAACTACATTACCCACAATGCTTTGGCACTAGGAAGCACATTTGTAAACACAATGCTAGAATGCTAAAAGGGAGTTTGCACAGGAATTAGTACATTTGCGTTAATCTGATGGAGAAATAGACCCATATATGTGTTCAGTATGATTATTGTGGTGATTAATTAAGGTCAAACTCACTTTACGTGTCCATGGGGAAAAGAAAAGACATGATTCACCCCAGATTTCTCGCTGGTAAGTCTCATTTAATGCTTTTGTAGAGGAGAGAGAATTATAATCGAGTGTTTCTTAACCCACGTGTCTTCTTGGGTATTAAAAGCATATTTATTAAATGATTAGTTTACTCAAAAATGAAAATTATCCCATCATTTAGTCATACACGGCTTGAAGGGGAGTAAATTATGGGATAATTTTAATTTTTAGGTGAGCTATTCCTTTAACATGCACGGAAATGTAGACCTTACCGTTAAAGTAGGACATTGAGTGTATATTCATTCATTCCTGCGTTTCTAATCGACTAAATATCATCTGAATTGTGTGTTTGGTTGATGTTTGTTCTTCAGGAAACGGGGATGATTATAACCTCCACAAGAAGAAACACAAAAAGCACAAGAAACACAAGAAGAAGCACCACCGGGATGATGGACACAGTTTCTCCTCTGAAGCTCTGGAGTCGGACTCTGGGATGCTGGTGCTCAAACCTCCTCAACTCAAACTCAAGATCAAACTTGGAGGTCAAACCCTAGGCACCAAGAGGTCAGTGGTTTTGCACACAATGATTTAGAGACTGAAACATGAGCTTTTTGTTTTGATCCCTATAGGTAATGGTCCCAAATTATGGCAAATTCTATTAGAATTTCGTCAGAATTGTTTTTAAAACGTTGCACATATTTTTCATATTTTATCAAAACCGCTTTTGCTGAACAACCTGTTGCACGCAATCTAATACATGCCTTCTGACCTTTTATTATAATTGTATTTTAATCTAATTCAGGTCGTGATGCATAAATACATCTTTCATTGTTTTTTTTATATAGTAAACATAAGAATAACTTATTAACATTTCAAGGTGAACATTTACTGAAATGAAGCAACTTCGGCTTACATGATTATCCATACATTATTTATTTTTTAGAAAAATCGTGTTAAAATGAGAGTATTAAATAAGATACAACATAAACTATATATTAACTCCTTTTGCGTTTCTTTAGACAACAAAATTACAATTACTTAAACTGGAAAAGATTAGATTTTTAATAAGAAAGAATACAGATATTTTTATGCAGTATGGAGACCTTTTTATTTGTTTCACTCTCCCTTATTTGTGTTATACAAACATGTTAGAACATTATTGTATATAATATCTGCGCATGCATTTCTTTAATCAGTTAATTTTGTTGCAGAATGTTTAAAAAAACATTGCACATATTCTCAAATAGACAAAGCAAATAGAAGTGATTAAATGTGCAACAGAAAGCATGCAAAGTGCACAAGCTTTGCTTTTTGAAATTGTAACTTTAAATATTTCAAATAGATTTATTGCGCAACAGGTTGAAGGTGTTTTTAATTCACTTCGTTCAAAATCCTTGTCTTGAAAACTTCACCTTAATTTTCAAAGAGAAACATTTGCATGGAAAATGTTTTTATTGCCATTTTCCTCATGCACATATGAATGTTACAACTCAGCCAAACAGATGTTTGCTTTTGGTCAGCAATAAGAGGCTGAGACTTCAAAACATGAGCTTTTCCTATTTTTTCATCACTATAAATAATATCAATATATTTACAGGACAACTCCTCACGAGAGTCATTGTCTTACTGAACTCATGGAGTGATAACAGAACAAATCTCTTACAGATGTTAATGTAACAAATTAATTAATATGCTTTTTCTTCATATTGGTTTATTCTTGCTTTAAAGCCCCCCAGGAATCAATTTTTATCACTGAAAACTCATCTTTGAGCACCAAAATGACATATATTACGTTTTTTCCTTTGTGTCTTAAAATATCTTGAATGTAACTCGACACCCTTGCCTCATTAGTATACGTGGTTCTATGAATATGCGAATGAGCCCCACCTCCACTCACTCACTCAGCTCAGAGATCCACTGGTTGACGATCACACGTTGATCTGATTGGTTACAAGGTCGTGTGTGACGCCAGAAACACCAGCGATTTCACACCGTGTTTTTGAGACTGTCTTTGGTTCACTGCAGTTTTAAGCAGAAAATACTCAGCAATGCTGTCGACTTATGAATTTACACATGGTTTGTCTTAAAGCATATTAAAAACACCACATAGACATATAATAAACATTAAAAGCTGAACAGTTCATCCCAAAATAGGACACATATTAAAAACAAAAAGCTTCTTTTGTGTTTCACACAAAATATTGGTATAGTTTGGAACATAATATTTGGAAAGCATGGCTGTAGACTAAAGATCTGGGCTGGTAACCGAAAGTTTGCAGGTTCAAAGCCTGTAAGATGTGATCCATAAAGTGTGATGTTGTCTCTCTCTCTGTAATAAGTGAGTTTTGTCTTTCTGCAGTGTGCCCACGTTCACCGTGATCCCGGACTCTCTGCGCTCGGTGCCGTCTCTGAACGTAGAGACTGATGATGATGGCGATGATGATGATGACGAAGAGGACGACTCTGATGATGACGTGCCGTCAGAGGGAGTTCCTATAGAGCAGTACAGAGCCTGGCTGGGTGAGCGGGACATCTGAATAGGCAAAACCCAGAGCCGAATATAGGGAAACCGAAGCAGTGTTAAAGGAGTAGTTCACTTTGAAATGAAAATTAGCCCATGATTTACTCGCCCTCAAGCCATCCTAGCTGTATATGACTTTTTTTATTTCAGACGAATACAATCGGAGTTATATTAATAAACACTCTAACGCTTCTGAGCTTTATAATGGCAGTGCACTCATAAAAGTGCATCCATCCATTATAAACAAACTCCACACGACTCCTGTGGGTTATCATATACACCTAGGATGGCTTGAGGGCGAGTAAATCAAGGGGTAATTTTCATTTTAAAGTGAACTACTCTTTTAACGTGTGTGTGTGTGTGTGTGTAATACCCAGATGAGGACAGTAACCTGGACCCGTGTCCCCTGCCCGACATGGACACGGACTCGCTGCTGGGACGCCCGATGGACGAGGAGGAGCGATGGCTGGACGCGCTGGAGAAAGGAGAGCTGGATGATAATGGAGAGCTGAAGAAAGAGATCGATGAGTCTCTGCTCACGGCCAGACAGGTGCCGTAGAAAACACACATCTGACCAGCGGGACAGGGAATCAACTATTATACAACCTCAATACAGGGTTCCTACACAGACCATCTGATAAAATACATACATAAAAAAAAAAAATAAACATTCTATGGAGGGTTTGCATTGACGTCACTTTCCCGCGGGAACACACTCCCTCAGCCGGACTGAAACACGAGTAAAACAAGCGATTATCAGTTTAAACTAAAGGTTCGGACTCAATATAGTGTTCCTTACAAATGACCACAGATCCAGTGATCGTGGATATTGACATGCAGCAGGAATCGTGTTTCCTGACATTTATATGAGCCTGATTTCGACGCCGGGGAAATGCATAGAGCAAATTTGCCTGTGAATGCTTTATATAAATACAATATAGGTCTAAATCCATGTGATCACTTATGTCAATGTTATATAGATCATCATATCGCCCAGCCCTAAAACTTGAATAGTTTTCTGTCAGTGTTTATTTAAAAACGTCCGATTATGCAGAATATACGATGGTTAATTTTTAATTGATGAGTTGTCAATACAATATATAGGGTATGATTTTACCCCTAAATTCAGCATATTGACATAAAATTATAACTGCAAATCCACCTTTCGCTGCCTGGATCCAGATTCACAGCGATCATTTGCCTCTCTGTTCTGTAGCTTTCGGTAGACTGTAAAAATATACCTCAGATTTCTTGTCAAATCTATTAGTACTGTCAATCACAAAGCTCTTTCCCGTTCTAGATGTGTTTTGTGTGTTTTTCACGGCTCAGTCTTTTTGCCACTTAAACCGCAGTCACTCCGGCCGACGGTGACGTCACGTGCATACGCTCTATTTATGCTTTATGAATATTGTAGCTAGGTACAGTAGCTCATACAAATCAAAAAACAAACCCAGACATGTTCAGTGTGCAGCGTTTTATTAAAACGGCAGTGCTATAATACTGGATTTTGCTTGATAGTTTTTCACTGACTGCAATTAATATTATATATTTTAAATTAATATTGTCACTCACTGCATTTATTTAGAAAACATTATTTTTTTTAAATAATAATAGCAGGATGTGCCATTCAGTATCACAATGTTTGCTATACCTACCAATTAAGTCATTTATTTTCATGCATTATCACTCTATATAAACTTGCTGATAAAATCTTTTTATTATCAGGCAATATAACTCCATACAAGTCCTTGCCCATAAAGTATTCACTTTATTATATACAGTATTTATTTAATACACTTTCAGTATATCTGTAAATAATCATGCAGTGCAAATTCGCTCACATGTTCACTAAAAAAGCTATATTTTACTAAACAAAATAGGGGCAATATAGTATAGAAACATTTTTTTATACTGATCCTGGAAATACTTAAATAAAAATTCCTTACTTTTTCCTTACAGGAACCCTGTAAACAAAACACATAATCCAAGTAGATAGTTGAAAGAACAATATTTTTATTCAGCAAGGGTACATTAAAGGGATAGTTCACCCAAAATTAAAAAGTAGCCCATGATTTACTCGCCCTCAAGTCATCCTATGTGTGTATGACTTTATTCTTTCAGAAGAATACAATCTGAGTTATATAAAAAAATGTCCTGGCTCTTACAAGCTTTATAATGGCAGTGAAAGGACGTTTCTGTTTTCAAGTGCATAAAAGTGCATCTATCCACGATAAAAGTGCATCTATCCATCATAAAAGTGCATCTATCCATCATAAAAGTGCATCTATCCATCATAAAAGTGCATCTATCCATGATAAAAGTGCATCTATCCATGATAAAAGTGCATCCATCCATGATAAAAGTGCATCCATCCATGATAAAAGTGCATCTATCCATGATAAAAGTGCATCTATCCATGATAAAAGTGCATCCATCCATGATAAAAGTGCATCCATCCATGATAAAAGTGCATCTATCCATGATAAAAGTGCATCTATCCATCATAAAAGCGTCTATCCATCATAAAAGTGCATCTATCCATCATAAAAGTGCATCTATCCATCATAAAAGTGCATCTATCCATCATAAAAGTGCATCTATCCATCATAAAAGTGCATCTATCCATCATAAAAGTGAACCTATCCATCATAAAAGTGCATCTATCCATCATAAAAGTGCATCTATCCATCATAAAAGTGCATCTATCCATGATAAAGCATGAGCAGAAGAGACTTCGTTCTTTATAAAATAAATAATAATTTGTACCAACCGTAAACTTACTAATAGTGTAAGTCTTATACAAAATATGATTTGATTACAAGTTGTAAATGAATAGTTGTTGAATGAACTTTACTGGTAACTTGAAGTATTTGAGTGATCTTTAGCTTGACCGAGTTTCTCCTCCGTCTGAACAGAAAGCCCTCTTACACAAGCAGCAGATCCAGCCATTACTGGAGCTTCCCATGGGATACAAAGAGAAGGAGCTGACGGCCGAGATGATGCAGAAACGTGAGGAACGCGCCCGCAAAAGACGTCTTCAGGCGGCCAAGAAAGCAGAGGAGAACAAGAACCAGACCATCGAGAGACTGACCAAGACCAGCAAGGCCAAGATCAAGAGCATGAGGGAGCGCAAGTCCAAGCAGGCCCAGGTGCCCATGGTGAGGTACAGCAGTAATGCTCAGGGCGCCGGCGTCTCCTATCCCGCCGGGATCCCCGTCCCGACTCCTTCAGCGCCACCAGCGCCGCCTCCTGTCCCGGCGAGCTGCGGGGTGTCGGGATGCTCCAACCTGAGGAGGTACTCGTGTTCGCAGACCGGGACGCCCCTGTGCAGCCTGGAGTGCTACAGGAAAAACCTTGTCCTGCTGGAGGGAGTCGCTTGAACCAGCGCTCGTGCTTCAACACGCCAGGTCCACACAATTATGTTGAACTATTGTTTGAATAAAATCATGCTGAAGTTCTATTTATGTTGTGCATTCAAACCCAAATTCAAGAAACCGTAACACTTTACAGTCAATTTGTTAACGTTAGTTACAATGAACAACTTTTTACTGCAATTGTTAATGTTAATTTATAAATATTCTTTTGTTTATTGTACTTGGTTCTTTCATAATACATGCTTGGCATATAAAGAAATTAACATTAATACATTTTAAGTAGTTTTCATTGTTAATTTCGAATGCAAATTTAAAGTGTTACCCAAATTTCTTCAGTTTTTTATTTTTATTTAATCCAATGTGATTATAACTCGGAATACTTAACTCAAAATTACAAACGATTTTCAGAGAAATTCATAAATCATGAGAATGAATTCTGTGATAATTCTTTGAATTTAGCTCAACCACATAACAGCAAGCAAACATGTTTTAATGTAAATCCTTCTGTAGTTGTGTTTGTTGTGCATTCAAACCCACATAGAGCGTAATTCGTAAAACAGTAACAATTTACAGTCAGTTTGTTAACGTTAGTTACATTGAACAACTTTTTACTGCAATTAATGTATTAAATATTCTATTGTTATTGGTTCTTTCATAATACACTAACTTAAACTGTTTAAAATGTATTGGCATATGTAGAAATTAACATAAAAAGTAGTTTTCATTGTTCATTTCTAATGCAAATTTAAAAGTGTTACCCAAATTTCTTCTGTTTTTTTATTTATTTAATTCAATACGACTATAACTCAGAATACTTAAAGCTGCAGTCCGTAACTTTTTTGGGTTAAAAATGATCAAAAATTTTTTTTTTTGCAAATACATAACCAGCCAGTGTTCAAAACTCTGCTTGCCGTAGCTCGATTCAAAACGGTAAGCTTGTAATGTTTTTAACTCCAGTGGTACTGGTGGATTTAAGTATAATCTGTGATTGCGAATGCCAGGATTCACAACGACTGACAGACACACACTCTCCTCAAACACTGTGTTCATCCGCGCTGTGCCGTGTCGAGGGTGCCGAGGCACAACTCACGTAAAGTTGATCATTTCGCAAATAACTGCAATTGCAGATTTCGAACAGAGATGGCGACAAAGAGGAAAAACTACGGACTGCAGCTTTAACTAACAATTACAAACGATTTTCAGAGAAATTCCTAAATAATGAGAATGAATTTCTGTGAAAATAGTTGATAAAGCTACTTTGAATTGAGCTCAACCACATAACAGCAAGCAGACATGTTCTAATGTAAATCCTTCTGTAAAAACATTGTGGAAATTGTTGCGTTGAATAAAAATATTGGTTAATAACACATTCGTTCTGAATGAAACTCGCTATGTAACGTGTGAAGCGATTGTTGAAACAGTCTGGATTATTTTTGTAAAAAAAACCACTGAAATAAAGAACACCTGAAGTTAAATCTGCTTTCATTTATTTGATAAATGATGCACATTTGTTGGATGAACGACGTATTACAAAGTTTTAACTTATGAAGTTCCACACCTTAAATAAAAAATACAAAAACATTTCATATCAAAAGTTCAGGTAAGGCTGTGGTCATAAACTCATAAACACTTGAAAAGTCAAGATGGCGTTTCTAGTGTTCGTGAGCCTGTAGCTTGTGACATCCAGCTTAGTTTGAGGTATTAAAGTTGTGCTTTTTAACCATTTCGGATGCATTTCATCATTCATTGCTACAGACGTTGCTTGTATTTAGCGGTCATTGAGCACAAAGTCCACAACAACACATGATTATCATCACAGGGATAGTTCTGTCTTAAGCAACTTCTGTCCTCGTTCACACACATACCTCACAATAATCTCCTCGAGCTTTATGATGGTGTGCCGCTGACGCTACACGGCCAAGCCGAAAGACAGCCGGAAGGCCATTTCCACAGGAGCTTCTGCCACAGAGTCATGGAAGCACACGTAAAACTCCTGAGGGACGGGTTCCAGAAGCATTCGCCTGCACGAGAGACACAACCAGAGCTGGAAACAGACTCACGCTGATGTGTGTTGCTCAGTCACAGTCACAGTCCAGAGGATTCTGGGAAGATGTTTATGGGTGTTCAAGTGCAAATTAATATTTTGAATTCGCTTTAATAAGTACTATATCAGTAATGGGCCACATGCTCGTTTATCATAACAATGAATGGGGGAAAAAACGATTTATTTAGGAATAAATATACTGATGCAACCTCTAATAGAAGTCATTTGCAGTTTGCAATCATCAAGCTCAAAACGTCTCTAATATCCCGTGAGGAAAACACTTTTTATTATCAATGCATTTAAAAATAAATACACATACACTGTACTAAATAGACTTACTTAAAATTGTAATTAATTATTAAAAAACTGGAGTGAAATTTAAAGAATAGACTTACTTAAAATTGTAATTAATTATTAAAAAACTAAGTGAAATTAAAAAAATAAAATAAACTGATTTTTTTTTCATTCTAAAAGGAAAATATTTAGATTTTTAAATATACAACGGACAAATACTCAAAATTCGAATTAATGATTAAAATGTTGTTAAATTAATTTTTTTTTGTTGACATTTTAAACAAACAAAAATTAAATTTTTTCATTATATATAGAATGAAATACACTACCGTTCAAACGTTTGTCTCATAAGTCAACATTTTTTTTTATCACAAAATCAGTAAAAACAATAATGTTGTAAAATATTGTTACAATTTTTATCAAATAGTAAAACTACACGATTTTACTTATGAGTTGAATGCACGTGAACTTCACCACAAAGTCTTAATTACAAATGGGAAATGATTTGATTTAAACTGAATAAAAATCTTTATTCATCACTTTGTAGATTTAGAGTAAAAAGTTCGAGCACGCTCTGACCAAAGTGAATTGATCTTTTGAACTTCCCAACTTGTAAATACGAATTTCCCAGGAGCACTCGAATACATTACACCTCTAATCTCAACCCATGGAATATGTTGAGTTGTCATAAGAGGTCAGAGGTCACGTACCCTATAACCCAGTAGGTCATGGTGGGCGCGGGTTTCTTCTGATCGGTCCAGTTCTCAGGTTTGCACTGGAACAGAACTCCATGTTCTTTGACTGGACCCAAACCTCGAGTGCTCTGGGGCCGCTCGGTCCCTCTGCGATCCTGAAACACATGCACACTCGTGTGAGACCATCAAACCCCTCCATATTACCATTTCATTTCATTCATTTTTTTATTTCGAACAACAAAAAGATACAAATAAATTAAAAAGTAAAAATACAATAAGTATGTTGCAACATACCAAAAGAAAAAAAGAATATCTATAAAGTACAATATTTTCAATATGTTTGAAAAGGAGCGGGATGAAGCAGAAGCTTATTATTTTTCCCACCCCTTATATAACTCTAAACATAGAGCAGAGCAAATATATACTATCACTATAACATAGAAATGAGCAGCAGTAACACTGCGGTAGCTTATCGATTCATACATTTAAGATTATTTAACAGACAATACAGAGGAAGGCATAACAACTATAACAAATTATTTGTTTCGGTAAATAAATTAAAATACATTTTATCTATACTGTATATATTAGATGAAAAACTTAACTGACAATGATACATGTAGTAATAAAAGACAAAATTATTAAAACTAAAATGAAAATGAAAAATTAAATTATAAAAATGAAAGCAAATTCAAAATATTAATGAAACTATTCTACTATATAAATAATACTACGTGCTTGTTTATAAAAAAAGAGAAGGTTCTTTAAAAATGGTCTTAAAGTATTAGCAAACTGCAATTTATTTAACTGTACACATAAATATAGACTTTTAAAATTGTAATTAGTTATAAAAAAATATTTAAATTTAAGAATAAAATAAATTAATGCAACTTTTACAACTATATATTTTTAAATTATATATAGAATTAAATACGCTAGCATTGAAAAGTTTAGGCTCGGTAAGATTATTAATGTTTTTGAAAGTCTCTCTGGCTGAATTTCTGTGATAAAAAAATACAGTAAAATTGTAAAATATTCTTACAGTTTAAAACAGCTGTTTTCTATTTTATTATATTTTAACATGTAATTTATTCCTGTGATCAAAGCTGTATTTTCAGCATCATCCCGCCAGTCTTCAGAGTCACATGATCCTTCAGAAATCACTCTAATATGACGATCTGATGCTCAAGAAACATTTATGACAATTATCAATGTTGAAAACAGTTGGGCTGCTAAATGTTTGTGGAAACCATGATGCATTTACCCGTGAGGGCAGGCTCAGCGTGAAGGCCTGTCGTATGGACAGACAGCAGTGGTAGAAGTTGTGGATGAGCTGTGGGTGGATGGAGCCGCTCAGATGATGGACTTCTCTGTGTGTGGGAGCGATGAAGATGCCCTGCACCGTCTCCATCAGCACATAATGAAACAGTGTGTTCTCAGCGCCCGCGGTCAGTCTGTCAACACACACACACGGACGTCAAACCTGCATTTTAGTCTGGGACTAGCTTAAGCCTTGTCTGTGGAACCGGGGGTTTATATGTGTGAGAGTCATGAGATCTAGATGGGGTTTCACTCACTTGAGAACATTGTGCATCTCCTCAGTCTCCCTGTCGGTTAGACTCTTCTTCAGCGAGCCCAGGTAGAACGGGTTCGGGTGCTTCAACCGGGGAACCTGGAAAATCAGAAAAAATCAACTAATGGATAACAAAATATTATTGAAGTATTTTTGTTATTAAAAGGCATTTAAATCTGGAGTGTAAAAGAAAAAGTTAAATAAAATGATAATAGTTTGTGCTTGACTATACAAAATACTATAATGTAAAATAAAAAGCCTAAACTTCAACACTAAACTGAAAACTAAACTAAACTAAACTCTAAACTAAAAACTAAACTAAACTAAACTAAAAACTAAACTAAACTAAACTAAACTCTAAACTAAAAACTAAACTAAAAACTAAACTAAACTAAAAACTAAACTAAACTAAACTAAAAACTAAACTAAACTAAACTAAAAACTAAACTAAACTAAAATCTAAACTAAACTAAAAACTAAACTAAACTAAAAACTAAACTAAACTAAACTAAAAACTAAACTAAAAACTAAACTAAACTAAACTAAAAACTAAACTAAACTAAACTAAACTAAACTAAAAACTAAACTAAACTAAAAACTAAACTAAACACTAAACTAAACACTAAACTAAAAACTAAACTAAACTAAACTAAACTAAAAACTAAACTATAAACTAAACTAAAAACTAAACTAAACACTAAACTAAACACTAAACTAAACACTAAACTAAACTAAACTCTAAACTAAACACTAAACTAAACACTAAACTAAACTAAAAACTAAACTAAACTAAACTAAACTAAAAACTAAACTAAAAACTAAACTAAACTAAGCTAAACTAAACACTAAACTAAACTAAAAACTAAACTAAACTAAACTAAACTAAAAACTAAACTAAACTAAACTAAACTAAACTAAAAACTAAACTAAACTAAACTAAACTAAACTAAACTAAAAACTAAACTAAACTAAAAACTAAACTAAACACTAAACTAAACACTAAACTAAAAACTAAACTAAACTAAACTAAACTAAACTAAACTAAACACTAAACTAAACACTAAACTAAACACTAAACTAAACTAAACTCTAAACTAAACACTAAACTAAACTAAAAACTAAACTAAACTAAACTAAAAACTAAACTAAAAACTAAACTAAACTAAGCTAAACTAAACACTAAACTAAACTAAAAACTAAACTAAACTAAACTAAACTAAAAACTAAAAACTAAAAACTAAACTAAACTAAACTAAACTAAAAACTAAACTAAACACTAAACTAAACTAAAAACTAAACTAAACACTAAACTAAACTAAAAACTAAACTAAACTAAACACTAAACTAAACACTAAACTAAACACTAAACTAAACTAAGAACTAAACTAAACTAAAAACTAAACTAAACACTAAACTAAACTAAACACTAAACTAAACTAAACTAAACTAAAAACTAAACTAAACTAAAAACTAAACTAAACTAAACTAAACTAAACTAAACTAAACTAAAAACTGTTTTTTTATAGCAATACATGTTGGGTTGATTTATATCTGACTTGTTGTATAAATGTTCTCTCTCTGTCTTTCTCTTAATCTTGAGGACTGACTCTATAGATGTGATGAAAGCTAGTTTCCATGCGTTTGGTTAAGCTTGTCTCTCTCGATGAGAGTTTATGAGCCTGAAAGCTTCGTCCAGGACGTCTGTAAAATATGTGGCGTCAGCACAACTTTATAACGGTAGTTCCTGATGCTGCTATATGAGACGAGGTTTTGGCAGATACTCAAGAGATGTTCTCAATAACAGACGGGCCTGACCATAATTCATAAGCAGTGCTGATATACACACTGACGCCTCATCGTTAGCAAAATCACTAATAATAATATTAGTTAGATGTCACTTCTGTTTTTCTGCAAGTTGTCACGGGAAAAAAACAATGTTTAATGTCACTTTCTATAAAAACTGAGCCAACGTTCTGAACTGAAGTTCAAACTTCAGTAGAGAGTGTTTAAAAATGTGTGTGTATATATATATATATATATATATATATATATTGAGGAGGATGCACCGATATGAAAATTTTGGCTGAGACCGATAAACTGATAATAATAATAATTTTTATATAATTTTTGAGAACCTGACTACAAAAACAAGTCCCAAGCACACATTATAATAACATTCTCATTATAAATTTATGTAGCCTATATGTCAGACTTGCGATGCACAACTGTACTTTCCTTTTTTGAAGTGATTTCAATCATATTTCAAGTCATTTAAATCCATCATGGTGAACGTTTTATGGAAACTTTCCTTTAGACATAATGATTTTTATACTGTACAAACTGTATCCCCATACCCTTAACTCAACCCCCTCACAGAAAACTTCCTGCATTTTAATTCATTGATTTATAAGCCTATTTCCTCGATTATTTATTGACTTTAATATATCGGCCAAATTTTCTTATCGGGCCGATACCAATAACATTAAAAATGAACATATATCGGCCGATACAGATATGGTGCATCCCTAATTATATATATATAAAGTGGGCTTTATTTTATTTATGCAAATATAATTTATTATTTTATTTATTATTATGTTTTGATAAATAATATATATATATATACACACACACCCATATTATATATATATATATATATATAAAAAACATTGCTTGAACATGTTTGTGACAGTTTTTGTGAGCTCTGTAAAGTGTAACATTAGTAAAACAGCACATAAACTGTAATAAATGTAAGACGAACACCTTGAAAAATCCTGCACTTCCCAAGCTGCCGTCGGATCCTCCCGAGCCGAAAGAGTCTCTGCGTGCGTCCGGTGTGGCGTGAGGACTCAGCCCTGAGGTGAAGGACGAGTCCGCGTGACCCTCGCTGCCGCTGTCAGACACACTCCTCTGAGGACTCGGCCTTCGCCCTCTTAGACTCGAGGACCCCGATCCCGCCTCCCCGAACAGACTTCGCCCGATCCCGCCAGGAGACGGGGGTTTGATCGCTGCCGTCAGACGGTTGAGGATCGGCGAGCTGCCGATGCCGTCCTGTCGGTCCCGCCCACCGGCAGGAAGGAACCAATCAGAGCAGGAGAGGCAGGGAGTGGGCGGGGCCGAGAGACGCTCCTCGATCGAGGCGTCCAGACTCTCCAGCTGAAGAAGTGTGGCTTTGACCTGGTCCACGTAAACGCAGTCGGGACCTGGAGATCCCAGAGCGGGACACGCACAGCCACCGGCCTCCAGCAACACACACTGCATGAAGTGCCTCTGGAAACACACGCCAGGAAAAACTGCTTTTATACATCGGGTATGCATTACATTTTCAGTCATTCGGTTTTCAATTACTGCGCTTAAACTATTATTAACGAATGAACACTAGCGTCCAGTGAGATTTTTTAAAGAAATTAAAGTCCCCCTGTAGTCAATAATTTTTATCACTTAAAACTCACCTTTGAGCACCAAAATGACATATTTAAAGGTTTTTTTCCTTTGTGACTTAAAATAGCTTGAATGTAACTCGACACCCTTGCCTCATTTCGTATACGTGGTTCTATGAATATGCAAATGAGCCCCGCCTTCACTCACTCACTCAGCTCAGAGATCCACTGGTTGGCGATCACACGTTGATCTGATTGGTTACAAGGTAGTATGTGACGTCAGAAACACCAGCGATTTCACACCGTGTTTTTGAGACTGTCTTTGGTTCACTGCAGTTTTAAGCAGAAAATACTCAGCAATGCTGTCGACTTATGAATTTACACATGGTGTGTCTTAAAGCATATTAAAAACACCACATAGACATATAATAAACAACATTAAAAGCTGGATTTTCACCACTGGGGGACTTTACGACTTTTAAGGCCTGTTCACACCCAGAATCATAACAATAAAGATTTAGTATTAAAAAAAATTCTAAGTCCACACAATACAGTTTCCACAACTATAAAACAGAGAAACAATATCGCTGGAATCACTAAGTTTCAGAATAATTTTTTTCAGAATGATAAAAACATTGACAGCCAATCAAAATCCATCCTGCTTCAAGAGCTCGAGCATTTAAAGCGCCAAGACGACAAAACTACAGCGTGCGATTAGAATGAACCGACGTTATTGTGCGTTTCGGCGCTAATTTAGTTATCGTTATAGTTTACTTTTTAGATATCGTTCTTGGTATGAATGTCAATTTCACTTATATAGCACCATTAAATACAACCAAAGTTGACCAATGTGCTTTACAACAAAATAAATTAAAGGCACATTACTAAACAAACTAAAATATAACAGTAAAATAACCTTATAAAATACAGTGCAAAGGTACTTCTTCATAGATCAATGCCTGAACATGCCTTCATTTAGCAAGGATGCATTATATTGATCAATAAAATTGACAATAAAGACTTTTCAAATAAATTATGTTATTTTGAACTTTCTATGCATCAAAGTTTCCACAAAAATACAACAAAAAAAATCTTACAGACCCAAACTTTTGAACAGTAGTGTAAAAAATAATTCCATTTTGTGAATAAATCCACATACCAGCACTAGAAAATCAGTCAAGACTGAATATCTGACTGATCTAGCAGCAAGCTTTTGCTCTGAGTATGAAGTTGGCACATTTCTTAAATTTTGGCTTTGGTAAACAGGGGCACTACCGTTCAAAAGTGTAACGCCGGCAAGATTTCCTCATGTCTCTTTTGCTCACCAAGGCTGCATTTATGCGGTCAAAGATGCAGTAAAATTGTGAAATATTATTACATTTGAAAAGAACTGTTTTCTATGTGAATATATAGTAAAATGCAATTTATTCCTGTGATCAAAGCTGTATTTTCAGCATCATTACTCCGGTCTTCAGACTTCAGAAATCACTCTAATATGATGATTTGCTGCTCAAGACACATTTATGATTATTATCGATGTTGAAAACAGTTAGATGAACAGTAAGTTCAAAAGAACAGTGTGTATTGGTAATCTGAAACACAGCCAGCGATCTCTCACCAGGCCCACTATGAGCATGAAGTGTCGTGCGTGTGGCTGAGAGTATCCGGGGCTGATCTGGGATCTGCGCTGTGGAAACACCTCTCTCCACACCACCAGCTGTCCCACGCGCTGCTCAGACGCCAGCGGAAGCAGACAGTAATGCTGACAGTACAAACACACGTCCACGAGCTCTTCTTTAGGCAGGTGGTTCGCTATGAGATAACCCTGCCAGACAGAGAGGGAGAAACACTGACCTTCAGTAGTGGAAACATGATTGTGTCAATGAAAGATCTGGGATAACTCCGCTAACAAGTATCTCAGTAGTCGGTAGTGTTTTATCCCATATCATATTTAATATGCACATTTCTAAGACCTCTAAATGATCAACATGATCGCACACGATCTACTACAGTCCTTCTCTCGTCTGATTGATAGTTCATAACTTCATAGTGTTTTAGTAAGTAAAAGGCCTTTTAGTATAATTGTACAAAAGTCTCCTATCAGGATGTGTCTTTATGCTGTGAAATCTGTGACTTTTATCAAGTAGACTTAAGAATGACTTTTATATTGCTATTAATATTTCAAGATGAACAGCTTAGGTTTACTTGATTATCCATACATCATTTTTTTGAAAATCATGTTAAAATGAGTCTCGAATATGATTCATCAGGCTTTTGAGGAAGGTTTGTTTGTTTAATCTCTCAATCATCATTGTATTGCATTGCACTATATGTTTTGATCATGAAACTAAGCATTATCATCTTGCTATGACCTATTATTGGCAGATATAGAGAGACGGCTGATATTTATATGATTTTATGTAAGTAGTCTGTTATAAAGATCTTAATAATTTACATTAAAGCTTTCAGAATTTCATCTTCCCTTTTGGCCATATAAATATCAGCATCTGCACCAAATCGCATATTTTATGCTCAGTTTGGGCCTCTGAATAACATTGAGGTGTTTTTTTTAGCTCCTCAAGCATGAGCCAATCAAGCCTAATCTTTCAAATCTGACACTCAACAGAAAACACATGCATGCATTTACTTTTTAAAATTTATTTTCATAAATTTTCATAAATACATATATTTTCTTTTTTTAATTTTATATTCCATTTCCAAAAAAAAGATTAGTAACTCGAAGCCTTTATGTATAATGCATTATAAAGCTATTAATAATGTATGTTATAATGCATTATATGTTTTCATAAATAATTGTAACCAAGTTAAAATGCATTATAAATTTAGCAGATTCCTTGTTACATCTGAAACTGGTTGTTTGTCATGTGTTTTAATGCATTATACTTTCTAAAGGTGTGTTCAATGAATAGATAAGTGTTATAATGTATTATAACTGCGGTTACAATTATTTACAAGACCATACGATGCATAGTTACTAAATACGTTTATAATGCATGATATATAAAGGCTTTAAGTCAAATTATTTTTCTGGCTATTATCACAGGGTTAAAGGAGCAACAGATATAGACTTGATAACTAATCACATCATCATTCATAATTAAAGAGTCTCTTCATCTGACAGCTGTATTCACAAGAAGCGGCGTGTCACCCTTCTGTCAGACTCGTTTCAAATATGAACAAGACTCCTTTACAAGCATGATTACATTTCAATTAACTACTGACAGCAGCAGTGTAACGCTTTCTACGTGACACAGACATGATAACGTACGGCTTCAGGAGATTCAAGACTCACCTTGTAAAACAGACAGGAGCCCAAGATGACATACAGACGCCTCATGCCGTAGAAATCCTCAGACTGACCAATGAGAGAACAGAGGAAGATTAGTGTATGCAACAGGCCACATCTTGCTACCAGTGTTATTTTAATATCATTATTATACTATTATAGTTTTTGTTAATATTTTGAAATAGATTAGCCATGATAATGTCACACCAATGTTTTTCCATATTTCTAGAGATATGAGAATACAAAGACCAGTTATCTGAGCACAATAACTCCTCTTACCATGTCACCAAAGTCCGACGACTCAAAGTCTGAGAGGACAGTGTCCACTTCGACCTGGAGAAAGAGTCCAAACATAATGAAAACCTGAGTGTCATTTATTAACATGCCCACATTGTACCGGCTGCGTGAGGATGTCCACCGAAACACATAAGAACATGTGGATTTGGGGTAATTGATTGTCATGTTTGTGTGAAATATTCCTTTCTAACAACTGTATGAGTAACATTAATTAAAGCTCATGCATCAGCCATGTTTCCATCCACCTATTTTTATGTGAATTTTGGGATATACCATAAAAAAAACGCTGAAAATGGACACCAATTCAAGAAATGCACATACAAAACATATGCAACATTAATTGAGGCACATCCTTTTATTATCTGATGGAAACTATGATGGAAACACGTTTACAGAATAAATCCCTTGATGTGCAACAACAAACTCGCGTTACTTTGCCTCAGCAGTGGATGTGATTGGATAACTAGCGGACTGATCACATCACAGCATCTCAAAAATTGGTTTGGTGGTTCTGAAACGCCTGAGCCGAAGTCCGTCATCAGAATGATTTGATTTAATTCCCCCCAGACGTGCCTCACACGAATGCGTTCCCAAACACCAGCATCCCAACGCAAGAGAACGTGACAGAGTTCACTGCGTTTCGTCTGACGCTCTGAGACGCATCTCATTTATGATGGAGGAATTCTTTCCAAATGGTTTATCGGCAAATGTTTTATGCGATATTCCAATTTCGTGCATAGGTTAAATTATGCAACTTTGAATGGAAACATAGCAATTGACTAGTAGGGGTGTAACGGTCCATGCATTCGTCCCGAACCGTCACGGATTGGTGCATACAGTCAAACGACGAATACAGTCAGTCACAGGCGATACACACTCCAATCCAGAAGGGGGCGCGCGCAGTAATGCAACGCTGTTTGCTAACCCGCACATTAAGAAAAAGAGCAGAAGAAGAGACGAGCTACGCACCAACCCAAAACAAGAGTTCAGATTAGAGATGTTCCGATACCCTTTTTCCCTTCCCGATACCGATTCCGATACCTGGACTCAGGGTATCGGCCGATACCGAGTACTGATCCGATACCTGGCTGTGTACAGTATCTATACAGCTGCAATTCATACTAGCACTGTATGAATTGATAGAATTATTTTATGGCGTGTTTCAGACTTATCCCTTAATTAAACATGAACAAATACATAGAGTGAACTGGAGTATTTTTATTATCTGACATACATTTCACAGCAATATATTATTTATCTTTCTTAAGTGAAAAAGAACTTAAGATGCAGCCACACATCTAATACTGTAAACTGAAAAATGTATTTTAGTTTTACAATATAACTGCATTAAAAAAAGTGCAACAAATAAATCTAGGAATCTGAAAAATGATATATGAATAATATAAGAAAATAATCTCTTTATAATTTAAAGTCCATAAACAATTTTGTTAAATAAACGGCATTTCAGTTTTGACCGCGGCTGGTCATCCAGAACAATAAACTCAATACATGTTATCGGTTATATTTATCGCTCGTTGGCTGTCTTTTGAAAGAAGTCTTTTCTCTTTGTTTGAATGAAGCTTTCAGAGATTGTTGATTCTGGCGCGGCTCATTCTTCTCTGCCCTTGCCTTTGTGTAATCGTGTTCTGTGGGGTGACGCGTCTTCAAATGCTTTAAGTTACTCGTGTTGAAGTTGCTAATACTTGTTCCACCCCTCAAAATTGCAGTATGGCATACGAGACATGTCGCCGTTTTCCTGGCTGGTTGGTCCAGTCTGAAATACTGCTATACAGCGCTGCCCTACAAAGGCAAAAGACCTTAACTCGCTACAGTGTGGAACTGAGAAAAATGACTTTAAAGATTTTTAGTTGTCCCGCCAAATTAATTATAGGTAGGACACTGAAAATCTGGAAATTAGATGTTTAAGTAATGAAAATTATCTACATAACAAAATTTTTAGCTCAAACTTGACTTTTGACCACTATTTTAAAGTTACTGTACTCTGCCTTTGTATTGTCAGCAAAAAGTGAGAAGTCATGCCAAGGCAAAAGGCAGTAACTTCCACATTATCAATAGGTTGCTGATCACCATTAACAAAATCATTACAGTAAAACCTGTATAAAATCTAGTGATCATGGCATTTATTTTGTATGATTTACAATTACCTAGCCTTCTAGTTATTGTGCTGGTTCCATTCTGGTGGCCCTATTAATACATTAGACATGACAAAATACCTCCATATCGGTAAAGACTAAAGAGTATCTTCAAGTGGTAGCCTACCGAGTGGCATAAGACTTGCTAAACACGCGTTATAATGTAATGTAATGATCACGATAAAACAGATCCTCGCGCACATTTGACCTGGAGACTGGTTTATAGCGGTGGATCTGAAAGACGCATATAGCCTATACTTTCACAGGCGTTTGTTTACCGAGATTCGTGTTCGAAGATGTCACGATCCGTTCACAAAAAGTAGCCAATGCAGTGCTTTACCCCTTAGGACTCAGTAGGGAGCGTGTTCTGGACTACTTAGACGACTAATGCATTTATAGCACAACCTTCTGTGTTCTGCGTCTTTTCAGTATGCGTTGGTTTCAGCTGTCTGCCCTAATATTGTGCGTGCACTTCGCTCGTCCCGTGGATTTATTCCGGACGCTGTGTTTTGTATGCATGCTTTTAACAGCTGTTCTGATGTTGTGTGCACCAGCATTTCTTGCTTCATTATGCTGTGTATGTGCCAATATTATTATCACTCTGTGATATAGCGTCGACTCGACCGTGTTCAGGGCGGAGCTGAAGGCGCCGGCGAAGTTTTGGCACTCTGCCAGCTAGATGCATGATGGTTTCAACTAGGTCCGGTACCCGAACTGGGTGAGGCGGGGCTTTAGTTCTTTGTTGTATTTACTTGCTTCGGCAGCATGTGTAACATTTTTCTGTCAACTCTGCATATATCCGTCGCGATCGATATCGCACGTTTGTCGATGGAGCCGGTTAAGAGCATACTAAATGTTCTGACCGCATTAGTGCAGGACAAAGCTCTGAGGACATCAAAAGTTACAGGGACGGATGGTAGCTGTACAAAGTACACAGGGTACATCGTAATTTCAATTTTAATGGAGAGTAAAACAAAGGCAGAACACCGTATAATCTGATAGGTAGCATTATTTGATAGAACGCCAGCACCGTAACTTCATATTGACGCGCGGCTAAACAAAGGCAGAGTGCCGTAACTCAAAATGAGCGTTCCAAAACTAAGCCAAAGAGCCGTAACTGGTGTTACGGTGTTCTGCCTTGGTTTCTCACGGGCTTTTGGAAGTTACGGTTAAGACAAACCATTATTTTCTCGAAAAAACAACGGAATTGACTCAAGATACTTATCCACATGATAAAGGAGGTCTTGAATGTGCCAAAAATATCAATAACTCATTTTCGACCAGAAACGAAGTTACGGTCTTTTGCCTTTGCACGGCAGAGCGGACATACTGCTATCGCGCGCCCGCGTTTTCTTCTTCGCTGCTCTAAACAGCACAACTTCCAGTGTCGCCACAAGCAACCACTGTTTAGAGCAGCGAAGAAGAATTGATCTCCGATTTGCAGCGTTAAGCAAAGCTAGCGTGCATAACTAGATATTGTTTAAGAAAATGGTATCGGATCGGTACATGGGTAGAAGTACTCGCCGATACCGATGCCAGCATTTTTATTGGTATCGGCGGCATTTATTTTTGTAACACGCTCCACAAACTTCATGGAAAGGAAACCGGGACGGCTGAAAGCGGCATCCTGTTTATTTCTTTATTTTACAAAAGCACAATATTTTGTTTTTATCGTGAGTGTAAAGTGTTCACAAATATAAATAGACTATTTACAGTTTCGAATGATGTCTTACTCTTATCTGTATGACCATAAATGACGGAGTATTTAAGGTTGTTTCCGCTTTTATAATGAGACAGCTCATTTGGCATTGTGCTGATTTGTGTCGTGGAAGTCATGTGATGTAATATGCGTGTCCTGGAAATGGGAAGCCGCTTCACTCGCCGTCTCCTCGTGGAAAGGTGAAGGAGACTCGGATGTAGATGGCACTTTTTCTCCTTCTCGCTCATATTTCTGCGATTTCTTGAAAAAGCGCAATAACTTTGTGCAACTTTTGTACAACTTTTATAACACAAAAGATGCTTTTCAGTTTTGTTTGGTCAGATTGTGACCAAATAGACTCTTTTGCAAGAGTGCATTCAGTTTACTGCTTAGTGTTTAATACACTAAAGGAGGCTGATACCAACTACCTCAGGGTGACTAAATATTGCTACTTGAAAATAAATGAAAAGAAACCTAGCATTGTTCCTTTTTCCTGTTGTACCAAACTCATATCGAACCGTGACCCCAAAAGGTACGTACTGAACCATGACACCCCTATTAAAGGGTTAGTTCACCCAAAAATGAAAATGATGTCATTAATGACTCGCCCTCATGTCGTCCCAAGCCCGTAAGACCTCCGTTCATCTTCGGGACACAGTTTAAGATATTTTAGATTTAGTACGAGAGCTTTCTGTCCCTCCGTTGAAAATGTATGTACGGTATACTGTCCTTGTCCAGAAAGGAAATAAAGATGTCATCAAAGTAGTCCATGTGACATCAGTGGGTTAGTTAGAGTGTTTTGAAGCATCGACCACAACAGATCCACAACAGAACCGGAAGACAATACAATGCTGAATAAAGTCGTAGTTTTTGCTATTTTTTTTGGACCAAAATGTATTTTCGATGCTTCAAAACACTCTAGCTAACCCACTGATGTCACATGGACTACTTTGATGATGTCTTTATTTCCTTTCTGGACAAGGACAGTATACCGGACATACATTTACAATGGAGGGACAGAAAGCTCTCGGACTAAATCTAAAATATCTTAAACTGTGTCCCGAAGATGAACGGGGGTCTTATGGGCTTGGGACGACATGAGGGCGAGTCATTAATGACATCATTTTAATTTTTGGGTGAACTAACCCTTTAACTAGTCATCTGGCAGTCATACCTTTATGTCTGCTGGTAAAGTGAGCCAGCGGACGGCTGGTAGACCGTCTAAGAAGAGGCTCCCTGAGATATCGGGGGTGGGCGGTCTGGAGCTGTCAATCAAGCGGGAGGGCTGGATGAGCTGCTGAAAGAAGAGGCAGAAGAAGTGATCCAGACGAGGAACGTTCTCCACCTCACAGAACCCGCTGAAGAGAGACAGAGTTCACAGAGACAGCCTTTATAAACACCGATCATCTCACATTATCAAATATCTATCTACACTCAAAACATTTGGTGTAGGATTTCCATAATTTGCACTCAGAAACTGCGAGTCATTTTCACAAATAATTACAAAGCAACAGCAAGTAACACGTTGAGTTAAATGTGAAATTTTAAAGTAGAAAATGTACTCCAATAATCTTTGTTTTTACAGTGTACAGATACATAAAGCTCTCAAGAAATATTTAGAAATACACACCTGTCAAGAGATCCGTACATGACCCTGAGCGTCCGGACAACTCCCTCGATCACAGTTTGCAGATACAACAGAGGAACCCTGCAGCACAAACACACACTAAACCGAGAACTGAACCAACAGAGACATCGAACATTTACCCCCAAGAGGAAACCGAATGAAAAGCAGCATTCAAAAATTGAGAGATAAACAAAAACTATGCTAAAACTAGAAATAAAATAAGAGGTGGACAGGTGAAAAATACAATTAAACTAAACAATGTAGATTCATTAACATGTAATAATACATTTTTTCACCTTTGCACCTCTTATTTTATAGAAAAACTAAATAAAATAAAAAATTTCTAAAAAGCATGTTGGAGCATTACTTGAGGGACTTGAATGCTGATGTTCTGTGGTTTTTAACGCTATGTGTCCGTAGGAAGTGCACTGGACTTCACACTTACTACTGAACCAGGGAGCAGATTGAGAAACGTCCTGAAGGCCCTGACACACTTTAAGCGAAATCGAAGAACGAACTGGTGTGGTGTGATGTCATTTCGAACAAAATCGGGCCAAAATGTAGTTTGTTTGGTGTTTGAACTTCCTCTCAAACTACCATTGGTCAGTGGTGATGATGTAATGCAAAGTAGGTGTGGCTCTGAGGCTCCGCCTTCTTCGAGATGGAAATCTTCTCCGGTTCATTTCTCAGTCCAGTGTGTCATGGACACCGCTGCTTTCTCATTTTTTGTTGTGTGTTTATTTCATTTTTGAGAGGAAAGCACGCAGAACATATTTACATATTTATCCATCAGTATGTTCGCTAAAAGTATATCGCTGCAAATGCATTTTAAACTTCTTTTTACCTCTAAGCGTAGAATGAAAATTGAAAGAGTATATCAGGCCCTTGAGAGACGTCATTCTTCAGTCGTTTTTCATTTTGAAGCAATAAACATCTAAATGCATGAACTGAATTCAGCTGAACATCTGGGATTATGGATCAGGTTACTGAGATTATTGATTATTACTGAGAAAGTGAACGTAGGATGAATTCAAAGATCATAAAATGAGCTGATTATAAAGATCAATACCAATTACAATCACCAGAGTTATCATCTAGATTACAGATCCTCGTTTGCAGACGGGATGATTATAGAGGTTATCCTTCAGTTTTAGGAGCTGAGCTGATTATAATGACAGTTATTATCTAGATTACAGTTGCCTGATGAGAATGACCTGCTGGCGGGTACAGCGATGACCAGCAGATTGGATCCTTCCTTCCAGTAGCCCACATGAACCAACTGCTGCTTGAGCCACAGAGAGGAGCTGAGCGAGAGAGAGAGGACATGTGACATGATATACAGCAATACAACTATAGTAAACGGCAAAAGACAGAGCGGGAATTAAAATGCACTGGTTAAGGCAAAAAGACGACACTACCCTCATCCACGACTGGTCAAAAGTTTGGGGGTCAGTATGATTTTTTTCACTTTTTTGAAAGAAATTAAAACTTTTATTCAGTGAGGAGAACACATTAAAGGGTAACTAAACCCCTGGTCAGAGCCTGACTCCACCCACTGGCAATATTTGAAAAATGCTGGAAAAGTGGGCGGAGCCCAGCGGAGATAGAGGGGATGAACGGATACTCTATCCTGATCGTTTTCAAAACTCGCAATTCCAACTCCTGACTCGCTACAGTGGTTTTCACGAAACAAGATGGTTTTTATACTGCCATGGAGGGACGTGGTAGCTCGTACCAAGGGCATGGTGAGCTGAAACCTGCTTACGTCAGCTCTCACCGCTTCCGTCACGAACCACCGCAAACATCCAATAGGAAAATTCAACTGCAGTAGCCACCGTTCAACCTGAAGAGGGCAGCACTCAGACGTTTTTACACCATATATTGTAGAATTGAAACACTTTATACCGAAATGTCAAAAAAATTACTCGAATCAATGAACAGCACTAATAAAGCCCCAGTCTTACAGATCATTAATTAAAAAAAGTTGGTTTAGTGTTTAGTTACCCTTTAAATGAATCAAAATGACAGTAAAGACATTTATAATGTTACAAAAAGATTGTTCACTGTAAAAAATGCTGGGTTGTTTCAACCCAGATTTGGGTAAAAATGGAAAAAAACAACAACTGTTGGGTTAAAAATTTTATACAAAAAAAAAAAACCTTTTAACCCAACAGTTGGGTTTGTTGGGTTGAAACAACCATGACATTTTTTATTTATCATGCTGTAATTTCGTTAGTAAATCGCGCATTTAGAAAGGCAATTCGGCTGTGTGTTATAGTTTTCTGATAGCTAGATGGTGCCAGAACATTACTATTAAAAAAGCATTCATTTAGCTGTTGGTTTTAATACTTGGTTTTAATACTACTTTGGTTTTCATACTACGGTCAATATAACATGTTTTAATGGGTTTCCCTTTACATATTTATATGTTTTTCATTACTTACAGTTTGTTTCCTTGCAGTTTTAAATCCATTAGGCTGTAGAAAACTGGCAGTGCACCTTGCATACTGAAAACCATTGTAAGTTTATGGAAACTTTGGGGTTTTTAAGAATGCACTAGTTTTGCTCAGGGCCCCCAGAAGTGTAGGATCGGCACTGCTTCTTTCAAAACGCATCAAAAAACACACTTTTCATGGACGTCCCCCACTGGCATCGCTGCGAACCCGGCGTCTCACCTGACTATCTGTCCACCCGTGACGTTCTCCAGCATGTCACAGAGCGTCAGGAAAATCCCTCTCACCGCTTTCAGCTGGGCCGAAGCCTCGGACACCGGATACTGGTACAAAATCTCCTGCTGTACGGAGGAAAGGCGCTTTAGTTGAACAGGTTACGCTGACCCAAGCTCATTTCACTGCATTTATGCATGTTCACACTGTAATATAAATGCTTTTATGGACTTTATTTGAAACATAATTTGCTTAAATGGAGGCCAAAGGTGTCAATATTGTCACAAAATGAGCTAAAAATCCCTGCTAGGAAGTAACTAACTAAAAATAGCATCACACTTAGCAGTGTTGCTACTGTTACAAATCATTTTTAGTGGAAACATTTTTTGCAAAAATGTTGCTTTGGCAAAAAACTGAAATGAAATATATTAATGTTGATATACTAAAATGACTATAACTAAAATGTAAATAAAAAAATTAAATGATACAAATATAAAAAAATAAAGCTAATAAAAATGATAAAATTAAATAAAATGAATAAAACAAACTAAAATTAAAATGAAAACTGAAAATATAAAAATAAAAACCAATTCAAAATATTAGTAAATACTTTAATACTATAATAATAAAATGAAACTGTTTTCCAGTAGTGTTATTTCAAAATAGTAAAGCTTAGCCTGTAAAAAGCTACTTTTCCCAAAACATTGCATTGCTGTTTTTATGTCACTGAACGAGACGAGGCAACAATCAAACGTGTTTCTCTCTGCAAAATAACTACGGTGAACTGTTTACATCGTTCAGATGATTCAAGTAAATGATTTGATTTGATCACTTTATTCCCTATGCATCTTCTTTTATGAAATTAAAATGAAATGTTTTGTCTAACTGTTCATCACTAAAACTTCGACTAATTAATCAGCTACTTTTTTGTAAAAGCATAACCTAACTTATGAAATCAACACCCAATTTACTTCCCTAAAACTTGTTCCCACTCTTGTCTCTTGTCTCTAATATTCCCCGTCTTATTCTTCCAATTCCCCTCTTATTTTCATTCTCTTTCTTAAAAAATGTCTTTAAACTCAATTCACATTGACTTTAAATTATGAGTAGCTTGCAGCGCATAACTTTGCTAAAAAACGCATTTCTCCGATGAGGAATGGCCATTCTTCTCCTCCAAACTGCAGCGGTGTGAGATAGTTTGAGGTTAATCTGCAGGAGGGAATGAAGGGGAGGGACGATTCCTTTGTCATTTTGATTAGTATGCTGAAGAGGAACACTTCAACCTGGCAACACTTTCAGACCGCGTGCATTTGAGTTTGTGTGAGAAATGAAGTTCTTCAAACCGCGAGCCTTCACCCTCGAGACACACACACACACACACGTTATCTCTTCAGCGTATTCCTTACACTCTGAAAGCTCAAGTCAGCGTTCAGAGGTGGTCGTCGTGGCCTGTGGTTTGGACAGCGCATAAAAACACACATTATAAACGCTCAAACTCACAGTAGAGCTCCGCGCTGCAGTATCAATCACTGCAGACAGAGAGAGGTTTTTAAGTGAGTCGGAAACACGCTTCTCTCAGCGAAGATTAAACGCTGTAAATCAACTACTCTAAACTATCAGCACCTGGAGGGATGCATTTACACAAGCCGCTTCAGTGTGTTCAGAACCTCAGCCTGACAGTAACCGGCCAAAAAGCAATCTTAAATCTTCCTCATTCCTGCAGAGTTTAGTTCAGCTGCGCTCAAACACACCTGGCGGTCGTTTTCAAGGAAGCCCAATGACTCCGATTAGGTGATTCAAGCAGGGTTCTCAAGTCTCACGCATTGGCCGTGAGACACACGCAATTCAACCAGTTCACACGCTCACACGCCAGTGACGCCACACTGTGTATTTCTCACGCTGAAAAGGCAATGCCAACCAAGTTGTCCTGCAAGCTTTATATATAACGTCGTATACGAGGCGCATGCACACAAAGATAAGTTTCCTGCCGCCAGCGCGTCCGCATCTCGGCCAGATTGCGTTCGTTACTAGGCAACTTATAGACGCGCGAAGTCCGCGAACACACACGGAAGTTCGGCCACCGCAACATCGCGCGAACACACGTCGTGATGGAGAAAGTAAGTTGGAAGAAAGCTCGCCTAACATTTTTAGACTAGAAGTTCTAGAACATTTAATATATAGCCCATCGTATACATTATTGATGCAGTCAAAAACTCTACAACTGCTTTGCAACCAGGACAAAAGCTTTGGCTCAGTTTGGCTAAGGAAATGTTATTGGGTATGGGAAGGAATGAAGATGTATTTCTTCAGTTTATTTTAAATTCTATATTATACTGTATTAATAGTATTTCCGGTTAGGCTACATTAAGGCTAAAGCAGAGTGCTCTTGGTAAAATTGTATATCCTGTCAAAACATACATTAGCCTAATCATTGCCATTGCATTTGTATTTTTCAAAGATGTCAGGGAAAAATGCAAAAATATTTGTTTTTCCAAACATTTTGGAGCAATTTGTTATATATTTGTAGCCTAATTTTGAAATATAACATTAAAGAGTAGGCCTATATTTGATGTGATGAATTGCTCTTACATTTATCAGATTTACCAATTGTTATAATTTCAATTTTTGCTGGTTAATTATGAACAATGGGTAAAATTGGGGGCGGGGCTAGGCGGGGGCGGGGCTCCATTTAGGCTCCTCCCCTAACCGCATGTGATCTCACTCCAAGCTTTTGATAAAACTTGAGAACCCTGCAAGTCTGTTCAGTTCTAGTTGAATCTAATTATTAGTTGAACCTACCGGACTAGAAATGAAAAACCCTGCACTAGGGGAATCATTAACCGGTCAAGAACATATTTGATTCTAAAATCAAATGTACAAAGAATTTGAAGTAATATTTAGCATGAAAAATGTGTGTATAAATATATGTGTGTGTGTGTATATATATATATATTTATACACACATTTTTCATGTATATACACACATACACGCACCTATATTATGTAAACAAAAACTTTTATGCTAGATGCGATTAATCCCGATTAATCAATTTGACAGCACTTATTTATACAGTATATATACACAGTATATATATATATATATATATATAGTTTTATAACATATTTTGATTATATATATATATATATTCCCATTATTCTTGTAATACAGTAATAATATTATATTCTAATATTATAAAATATTATATTGTAAATTACAATGACTTTCTTTGTAAAATCAGCATAAATAACCTAATTTTCTTTGCTAAATATTATTTCCGGGTTTTTTTTTGTATTATGATTTTGGAGAAATCATTGCTGTGTACTGATTCATTGCTGTGTATTTCACTCCAAAATCAAAATACAAAAAAATGAAATAATATTTAGCAAAGAAAATTTGGTTATTTATGCTGATTTTACAAAGAAATTTATAGCAATGTACAATATAATATTTTATAATATTATAATATAGTATTTGTATTGTATTACAAGAATACATATATATATATATATGCAGTATGGAAATGTGTTTAATTATGAAAATAATTGCAAAATGCAAAAAAACTTGGCCTCACAAATATTCCTCACTTCCTTTATGCAAAATATAATTGTCTTTTTTTTTCTTTTCTTTTTTAACCTAGAAATGTTCTTTGTGAAATTCCCCCTGCATTTCCGACAATCCTAACTTTAAATGCACATTTTGCTTCTCTTTATGAATTGAGCGATTCAAGTCTCCAAAAACTTTCCAAAGTCCTGAAGAGTGGTTTTCCTTTCTGATGGGAACGTGGCGTCTCGCTGTGAATTATTCAGCCGGGACGAAGGCGAGCTTTTCCCTCTCTTCTCCTGTTTCCTCACGTCATGCTGACGGCTATAAATGCGAGCGGCTGTTAGCGGCACAGCAGAGCCATTCATGCTCGCCTCTGGCACGATTTAACAGGGGGAAACTCTTCTGGATGGCGAAATCATGTTAACGGATTAAGCATTGAAAAAAATCCACACAGCTGTTTTAGCTTTTCCCAATTCTCACAAGCTGAAAATAATATTTGTAATGCAATCAATGGGTGGAAAGCCTCTGAACATTAGGGGCCCTATCATACACCCGGAGCAATGCAGCGCCAAGCACGACGCAAGTGTTTTTAGCTAGTTTCAGCCCGACGCAGTTATCATTTTCACGTCTTGCACCACACTGTTTAAATAGCAAATGCATTTGCACCCATCTGTGAAAACGAGGTGTGTGTGTGTTCAGGCGCATTATTGGCGCGTTGCTATTTTGAGGCAACTGAAATAAACTGTGCCATTGACCAAAAAAAACCTGGTCTAAAGTTAATGGCGCAATATTTATTTTGATATTTAAAGAGCGCGTTAGTAATGTGCGCCTATAGGCGGGTCCACAACGCATGTACACTCTGCTTATTACACACACACAGGGACGCGCAGCAGCACACAAACATACCAATTAATAAAAATAAAAGGATTACAATGTAAAAGATTATTATTGTGTACATAAAGATATGGTGGAATCCGGCTTGTCCCGTAGATGATCTCCTCGCTGGCTTTAACCTCGCGCACGAGCAGATCCGTTTCCTCTCTGGAAAAGCGTTCAGTTTTTCCGCTTGCAAATTCTGCCATGTAAATAGCGAATACGCCATAGCGCGAGCACAACTGGCTTTTAAAGGGAATGGGAGATGAGACTCTGATTGGTTTATTGCATGTTACGCCCAAAACACACCCATTACTCATTAAGAGAATAGGGACAACACTTTTAGACCATGCGCCGGGAGCGCCGACCATTTTTCCCGTCGTTAAACTAGCAAAAGTGGATTCGGACTCGCCCTAACTGCACTTGCGCCCTGCGCTTTAGACCATGCGTTTAGATCGTTAAAATAGGGCCCAAAGTGGAACAGACTGACCTCCTCCTGCGGCGACTCAGAGTCCAGTTTGAGCGAGAGGTACATCACGATGTGCGGGACATGTGCGATGGACATCTGGAGCTCGACTGTGTCCTCGCCCCACAGCAGTCGGACCAGCTGACTGACCGGAGGAGACGGTTTGGGTCTCGAGTCCGAGCCGCTCCCGACGGGACACACCGTCTCCAGAGTTAACCTCACCTGAGAAACACAGAGAAAAAATCAGAAATAAATACTGATGATAAAATGAAAATACCAACTATACAATCTTACAGTCACACCAAAAATTATTCAGACACCAGATATAATGTGATATTTTTTTACTAGAGGGTGCAGGACACTATAGTTAATTTATGTGAGTGAGGATAGCAAAATAAAGTAAACTGTGACATATTATATCCAAAAATTCTTCATTTAGTGGACCACCAGTAAAATTTATAGAAATTTGGGACCAAAAATTATTCAGACACTTTGACCTGACCTTGTTTTGCTGAAGTGTTTTTTTTATTCAATTGCAAATACGACATTTTTACACCACAGACTGAACAATATTAAGCATTGCTCGGTAATTGTTTGAGCTAAATTGGTATTATGTAATTGTGCAGTTCTGAGAAACCAGGACTCAGGATTCAGGACTTTTTTTTAAATTTACTTAACTTATAAATCAAAGTTGGTCTGAGATAATAATTATGTAAAAATATTTTTTCCATGAACTCAAAACTAATGTTTTTTACTTGTAGTTCAATCAGCTAGCATTTAAGATAAAGAGGACCTATTGTGCTTTTTTACATGTTCAACTGTCTTCAGTGTGTAATGTTGCTGTTTGAGCATGAAAAATGTTTACACTCCCATTGTTTCTGAACTATTGTAGCCTTGAGTTTTCCTTCGGGAATGTACATACAAAATTCCCACCCAAGGCACATGTAAAATAAAGAGGCGTGGCCTTGTTGAGTAAGTTGGTAGTGTGTTAACTCGTGGTTATGGCAAGGGGCGTGGCTTTTCCCAAACACGCTAGAAGCGCTTGACCAATCACAACATACTGATCCAACCGACCAATCAGAGCACAGTGTGCTTTTCAAAAGGAGGGGCTTCGTAGAGACAGGAACTAAACAGAGTAGTGGTGTAACGGTACACAAAAATCACGGTTCGGTACGTACCTCGGTTTTAAAGTCACGGTTCGGTATGTTTTCGATACAGCAAAAAGAAAGAAATGCCAGAGAAATTTCTTATTTGTTAAAAGAAAAAAATATTTTTAAATAACTGAGTTTTCCTACATCTTGAAACTTTCAGGTTTATAAATGGGGGTCATCTTTGAAGGATGAACATATAATGTTTTGGTCATCACATTAAAAATAACATTTAAATATATATATATTTATTTATATATTATTTGAGTTTTGAAGAGCTGGAAAAAGATGTGTGAAGTACTTGAAAGCAGTTCACTATTCCAGCCAAACTGGTTACAGTTAGTGTTAGCCTACTATATTAAATCCATGGTGAATGTTGCTGGTCTGTGGACGTAAAGTATTACTAGTTCATTCACGGCACAATGTTTCTCCTGGTTTCCACGTCAGTGCTGTTTGATCTAATAGAGATCTACGGTTAATAACGGAGAAATGTGAATGCTTCTCACTAGATCTCGCAGCGATGTTATTACTTCAGTGGCGAATTAAAATGTTTTCTTTACTGGATCTCTTAGCGCTGTGTTGTAACAGTGTCGCTTGATCGAGATCGGCTCGCGCTGCGCAGATGTTGCTGGTCAAACGATCCGTGAAGCACAATATAATGAGTAGCGCAGTTTCGTTCCGCTTTCATTACGTTAGCCATTTGATGTTGCGCAACGTTGTGGTGGTCGCGCCAGCGCGAATTTTGTCGGCAAGAAAAATGGTGCAAGGAATCGTTCGGTTTGTATGCGTACCGAACCGGAAGCCTCGAACCGAAACGGTTCAATACGAATACATGTACCGTTACACCCCTAAAACAGAGCGTTACTGACAGACTGGGAAAAGAGGTGCTGCAACAATGGAGAATATGGGGAAATAATGTGTTTTTTGAACATTCAAGCATGAAAACCTCTTTTAGTAGAGCCCAAAAACAACATATATCAGTGCTCATATTAAAGAGGCCATATTATGCCCCTTTTCAAAGTCTTGATGTTGTTTTTGGGCTCTAGTGATGTAGAACTTTCTTAGTTGTGTATCAGTTTGTTAAGCAGACTGAAAAGGTTATATAGAATTACAACTAAAGCAAGTTGTGTATATGTGCTGAAATGGAAGAAACACCACATAAAATAACTCTTAATGGTGACTTGCCATAACTTCCATAAGACTTCCTTCAAAAACAATAAGACAAATCGGTCACACTTTAGATTAGGGTCCGATTCTCACTATTATTAACCACAATAAACTCCTAATTACTGCTTATTAATAGTTAGTAAGGTAGTTGTTAAGTTTAGGTGGATGTAGAATATGGTCATGCAGAATAATGCATTAATATGTGCTTTATAAGAACAGTCAGTATCCTAGTAATATGAATGCTAATAAGCAACTTTAATAGTGAGAATAGGACCCTAAACTAAAGTGTTACCGAAAAATCATACTGACCCAAATGTTTGAATGCTAGTGTACAAATATTTCAACTCGATTTATGATTTAAGTTGAACACGTAGCTCGAGATTCAGCCCAGGACTCCTGCTAAAAGAAACAGCACTTTCTAAGATTGTACAAATCAAATAAAGCACACACTGAGATCACTAAAAGCAACAGCGCCCATCTGTGAGGTAACAGCGTATTCACTCCCACTCGCCGGTTTAACATGCAGAACAGACACACACGAGTGTTTGCTGACCGCGAGCAGCTGGACTGCAGTGCTGAGCTGGAAAAACAAGCCTGTTATTAAGAGATGTGGACGACTGCCGATTTCAGATCACATCCAGATATTATATCATTATACATTACGGCCAATGCTAGTTCTTCTTATTATCAGTGAGGTCTATAATACCAGGGGCCGGTTTCACAAAGATAGACTTTGACTATGGCTTAGATATAGTAGAGAGTCAGACTTCAGATAGACATCTAAATCAGACCGTTGCACAAAGCACTTAAGACTCTGACTATCTCAAGTAGGACTACACTGCAATGCATTCTGGGTCAAATAAGACAATTTTCAAAACAAAAAACATGGCGGATCGAGTAAGCGCATTCAGCCGCTCAGTGCAGTTTACCCCAGCGGGAAATATGTGTTTGTTGGAGGAGTATAACACAGTTACATGGACATTTTACTTGGGAAATTTAGCGGAGAATGTAGTAACAAGAAGAAATGTTTAAATTTGGAAAGAGCCATTTTCCCTTTGCTTTTGGCTGTTTGTAGTGTAACTGATTGCCAAGGTAACAGAGTCTTAGACCTAAGCTAGCCTTAATTAAGTCAGTCTTTATTTTTGTGAAACAGTCTAACTTGCATTAGACTCGTCTATGAGCAAATTTTAGACTTGTCTAACACTATAGACCGGTCTAAAAGAGCTTTGTAAAACCGGCCCCTGAGATCTGTGATAGCATTCCCAAACTCAATGACTGTTGCTTGCCTGGCTGAAACTTGATGTAAGTATTATGTTTATTTAGATGTGCTTCCAAAAACATATAATATATATATATAAAAAAAAAATGTATATGATACTTACATTACTCAAAAGTTTGAGGTCTGTAAGATTTTTTAATGCTTTCGAAAGAAGTTTCTTATACTCACTAAGGATGCATTTATTTAATAAAAAACACAGTAATATTGAGAAATATTATTACAACTTAAAATACCTGTTTTAATATATTGTAAAATGTAATTTATTCCTGTGATCAAAGCTGTATTTTCAGCATCATTACTCTTCAGTGTCACATGATCCTTCAGAAATCACTCTAATATGATGATTTGCTGCTCAAGAAACATTTATGATTATTATCAATGTTGAAAACACTCAGGATTCTTTGATAAACAGAAAGAAAGAGCAGCATTTATTGAAATAGATTCTCTTTACTGTAACTTTTGATCAATTTAATGCATGCATAGATGAACAAGGCCCTGTTTACATCCGGTATTCAGATTGGTCAGCGTTTGGTCGATCGGGTCACTAGTGGGCGGCACTAGATCCAGCTGTAAACGGGTCTAAAGCGCTTCGAGCTCGTCCACTCTCAGCACTTCCAGAGGAAGATGAACACACACTCGGCCGGATTGCTTTCGCAGTGTAAACGCTCATGTGAGCGAATGTGTTCAAACAGCCTCAAAAGACCGTCTTCTCTCCGTCTGCTGAACTAATGATGAACGTCACGAGAAGAGGTTTACAGACGGGATTTAAACTCTGGAGAACACAAGATCGGTTTGAAGATGAAAAACGTATCAAACACAATGTTCTCTCACCATTCCTGATTTCTAACACACACTCACAGCGTTCGGCTGATCTTGTGTCTGTCAGAGCAGAAACTAAAGCTGATGCTCCGTATGTTTTTCCGGATGCATTCATATGTAAAAAGAATCCTACTGGTGTCAGTGTCCAAAGAAAGACCAGTGGACATGATGATTTTGTGCCTGTGGTGTAGTAACTCCTAACATTTAAAATGAACAAACACACAATGCTTACCTTACCATTTCATAAATCACCAGCCGAGACTCATTTTAAAATCTTGGCAAGCCTCAGGAAACCTCACAAGAGCACAGTTCCTCAACCCTAATATCATAATAGCCTCGCCTGTCCTTTTTTGTCCTATGGTGTAATTTGCTATCGGTTCTCGTCCTTTAATCACTTTCTCCCTCTCTCTTCTCCACAGGATAATGGCTCTTTTCCTGTGGCCTACAAAAACAAGCGTTACCGTAACCGCCGTCGCTGCCGTGGCGACAGAACTCTGTAATTTCAACATTCCATCCTCTCCCAGGCAACGGAGTGAACAAAACCAGCTTGAGAAGGGATCAAACGAAAACGCATTCTCAGAGAGAAGCAGCGTCTAGCTGTAGTTATAGAAAAACATAGAGTTGCATCAAAAGCAACAGCACATTCATGACTGTAGCATAACTGGTGTGAGGCAAGTTGCATGCCAAAGATGGAGTTAGGGCTTTGTTCAAATCACTAATGCTTTGCACATAGGGGTGTAACAATTTATTCAATACCAAAACGCATAAGTATGTATCGTGACAATCTGTATTGTGATGAAAATTTCTGT